TTCCAATTTATCCATTTATTTCATTTAAGAGCTCAAAGTGTAGAAATAATTTTTAAAAATGTAACATGCTGTTCCCTAGGAATCGTGTTTTGAACTGAGGCTGGCATCTTCGAGCTGGGCAGCCAAAACGTCCACAACAATTTCACTCAAGTATATTCAAAGGTTGAGTTCTGAAACAAGACTCTCAGGAAGCTGCTGCCCCTCTCAGATATCACCTCTCCCTGTCCTGTCTCTGTCCTCTTTGTACAAGAGGCGCATTTCCCACTGAACCCCTACAGCTGTTCCCATTTGAGTCCTGCTTTCTGTGCCGCTGTGGCTGGTTGGAGGGTGGAGGGGGGATGTTGCGTGTCAAGAAATAATGAGCGCCGACACATCAGCAGACAACAACAAAGCAGGCTGTGACTGGCCGGTGGGAGTTAAAGGCCTTCAGTCATTGGCAGCTGAAGCCAAACATCCCCAAGTCTACGGAGCAGGGCCCATTGTTGGTCAGTTGTTATTTGCAGAGAAGCACAGATCTGATCATGTTTAGAGTGGCGGCATGCAGGGCAGGAGTGCCTGAGCCCAAGCAGTGGATGGAAGGAAGAAATAAGCCTTTGTTGGGTAGAAAAAGGCTGGCCTGCCTGTTATTTTCTGTCTGCTCTGGGCAACACCTAAGTCAAAGTAGACATATTTTCTTCAGTGAACTGCAGTGAAAAAACGTGTGTGTGGGGGGCTCCTGACTGTCTGGATTAAAAATATTCATACATGGAGAAATGTCTCGGTACACATTTCCATGGACTCAAACTCTGAGATATATATATATATATATATATATATATATATATATATATATATATATATTTCAGTCCCAAAGACAAATGATAAGAAATACATGACTTGAGGATTTGGACATCTCCCATTTGGTAGATAAGCTATCACCTACGAGCAAATGACTTAGATCTATTCATTTTCTTCTAGCGGAACTGCTTTCTGTTTAGAGATGCCATCCTAACTGGACTGCTGTTTTTGTGTGTGCGCTTGTAATCACTGTCCGTGTCAGGCTGCACCGCCTGCTGGCACACACATACTACTGGTACAATCGCCGTTGCAGACATTTCTGCCTCCTGACATTTTGCAGCCTCCATTCCCCGAGGGATGTGTGTTGAAGGAACTGTCAGAGAAGGGCTGTCTGCGTTGCAGCCACTCCTGGCTGGCTTACTTCTTCCTTAGAAAAAAAAAAAAGAGCAGTTTCTAACTGGCTGTGTTTGGGCTGGGGTCATGCAGTCTGTGCTGGCCCCCGGCCCTGCTGCAGAGAGCACACAGATGACAGAGAATGGTACACGGAATTTGGGGTGTCAGATCTGGGAGTGATGTGAGGACTGAGGCTCTGGATGTGTGCAGCTGGGCACGTATACAAGTCCTCAGAGGGTCAAGATTGCCAGGGTGCAGTGGCACAGCCTGGTACGTTCTGAAGGAGGGATGCTCAGCTGTGGAAGCCTCGGGTCCAGCAGGATGAGAGCAGCAGCCTTGCCTTCTGCCCGCATGCACCCTAGAGGGATGAGCTGTCTGTATCCCAGGCTGTGGTTCCGATGCCCGGGAACTGGTTTTTGACTCCCAGTAATCATTTTCATTTGTTTATTTACTGACGGATATGTTTATAGATTTCACAATGGAAAATCTTGCAGGGGTGTTTTAGTGCCATTCATTTTCCAGGATGAAGGCCAAATTTTATGACATTCTCCGTCCGAACAGCTTACGTTTTATCTCAAGGTTTGACTAACTTGGGGACATCAGGTGAATGGAATCAGAGTTGAATCAGTCTAGGTCAGCGTTTTTCAACTTTCCTAACGCTGCGACCCTTTAATACAGTTTCTCACGTTGTGGTGACTCCCAGCCATAATCTTATTATGGCCTTTGCTATTTCGTAACTGTAATTTTCTACTGTTGTGAACTGTAATGTAAATATCTGATACGCAGGAATGACCCCTGTGAAAAAGTCATTCAACCCCCCAAAGTGGTCTCAACTCAGGCATTGAGAACCGCTACTCCAGGTGAAAATAACTTTTCTTTCCACCACAATGAAATTCCCAGGACGAACCTTCCAACAACTCTTACACGGTGGTGAACAACTGGCTTCTCAGCACTGCTTACATCACCTCCTCTTCCTGCTTAAATGAAACATCACAAATGGGTTTCCTAAAAATTCCATGAGTGGTGTTAGCGTTTAGCTGCTTTGTTCTTGAGCGTTTGCGGTCACAGGAGGGCACTGACTGACTATCTCTATTCACGTCTTTGTGCTCTGGGCCTTAATGTTCTCAAGAAAAAGTGATTTTTTTTTTTTTGTTTTGAGGGGGTGGTCTCTATATTGAGTTTATAGATGGCAAATACACATGATTCTGTTTTTCAATAACTTTTTTTTGACTTGGTCATAGATGAATAAACTGCTTGCTCATTTTACAAGTTCAAAGTGTAAACCTTTAGGGCTTATATTGGTTAATTTGGATACTGTTGATGATGACTATCTTGGGAATATAGTAATATGACGTCATAGAGATGATATTAATAATGGGATTAACTGATATGGGTTTCCCCACACGCCCTTGCTCTAGGTGTATGTCCCATTCATTAAAATTAAAAGACAGGGACTCAACAGCAGGATATCCCTTGCTTTTGAAGCATTTTCATTTGTTCTGGTGTTAGTACTAGAAGGTTCTGGGTGTAGTGTTAAAGAATAAGTAAAAAATAAGTTAAGAAAAGTGATTTCGCTTGGTGGCTATTCACAAAAAATGCAGATGGTCTCGGAGCCCTTTGCCTGAGCAACCTATAGTAGTCAAAATACTTACCTCATGTTAAAGAAAGGCAGATCTAGCGCAGGAATGAATACCAGAAAGGGGTTTGGGGTCCACACACTAGAAATACTGAAAAGATATAGGGATATTATAGATCTTCTATTTGACAGTGTTCTTAAGTATTTATATTCCAGAGAGTTTAAAATATACGAGTAGAGTATACATTTTATAATATATCAGAAGGACATGCATATATATATATAGTGGCATGTAACATACATATATTAATGTTTGTATTTTGAAGAGCAATATTCTTATGTGGGAAGTTGTTGGGGTAATAGAGAACAAATAATCTCTAGATGAAGGAAAACATATTTTGAGAATGGGTTTGTATCAGAGGAAAACAAAAACCAGCACCGTACAATAGCAGCTTCTTCTTCCTTATTATTATTATTAAAATGTGCCCAGGGAGCCTGAGAAACAACGTAGTGGATGTGGTGCTTTTGGAAAGTCCAGGTACTCTATTTATCGAAGAGTTCAAAACGTTTAATTTCTCTCTAACCTAAGGGTTCAAATATGCTTACTCAATTTCTAGGGAATTTATCTATTTGTAAAGCTCATACCTACTGAGTTGACTGTTAACTTTATAGATGTCGTAGCCAAGCAGCAGACCAATGATTTATGAAGTATTTCATGAGCAATTTGCCTATCGATGGCCTCGCCCTTCCTTTCAGCGTCAGATGCCATGTGAAGGTGCTGTGGTGTGTGTGGGGGATGACTCTCAGCGGGGTAAGAGGAAGGTTAGTTATTACACCAGTCAAACACTCACAGTCTGTCAGAGGACAGCCGGGCTTCTGTGGATATCGCGCAACCTGACTGATTATCGATGGAAGAAATCAATTTTTTGAAGTTGTTTTAAATCTTAAAAGTACCTCTCCTCAACATAAAAGCCCTTTAATTTTAACTGACAGATCAATTCTGAAACTTTATTTTGAAAAGAAAATGGGGAAGAATTTGTGTCTTTAGAATTAAACGAGATAAAAAAAATAAATCAGACATTCTAAAAAAAATAAAAAATCAACCTGATTTTTTTTTTAGTGCTAATGAAGTCGTGGTGACAAAATAGTTGTCTTTTTGATTTTATCACAAAAAATAAACTGGTAGTGACAGGGTATGATGGAGAGATTGACGTCCTGGCAAATCACTGCCATTGATTCAATTATTCTAATTCTGAATAAGAGCTGTATACAGTCTGTGTTTATGCTACAGTGGGCTTTTTTTTTAAGTGACTGACATTCATCATATTGGTTAGACAGTTTTAAAGAGCTAGTCTTTGTTTTCTACAATGTTGTCAAGAGCAAATAGAGTATAATTTGTGGTATATTAAAAGGAAGCTGCTTAAGATGTTAGTTAAAGGTGCTTCAAAATATTCTAATTTATTTGAAAATGTATTTTGGAAATTCAATTTCTGCCAATAGATGCTAAACATCTTTGAAAAACCTCGGGTCTTTAAGTACATGCCGGGGGCTTTTTACCTTTCACTTTGTCCTATGGTTTGTCAAACCCTTCAAGAATACAGACCTATGGCGCCAAACCCTAGTGTCTTACAGGAAAACTTGGTCCATATGCTGTGTTCCCAAGACACGTTCCATGTTAGAGACTCATTAACATGCCCAGCCAATGCTCATAGTTAACAAAGGGTTGAGGGGACACAATGGAAATCTGAGTTTGGTTCAGTTTTCCACTGTCTTAGAACCGCATTACATAAGCTGTTCACTGGGCTTCGTGGACATCTCTGGGACACCAGCGTCAGTGGAGCTTCTAGCTTGAATTTCCATTTGAATTTTGTCTGTTGACATAATTTCACAGCACTGATGTCGGTCATTTGGAAGTTCAGATCAGCAGTCTACCCAGCTGCTTTGTGTAGTCCATCAAGTTCTGTATGTACTACTGTGTGGGGTAAGACGAAACCCCCCAAATATGACTTTTGCCTTTACCACTTTAAACAACAGGATGCACCAATGCAAACTGTTTCATATACTAGCAAACAAAACATTCTTTTAAAAAAGTCTTAACAGTTTTTGGTGACCTTTTCAGAAAAACAGAGCAACGTATCACACACGGCTTGAATTCCCGTTCTGTATTTATGGGCTGCAGCATGCATATTACCATCACCCCTTGCTACAGTCCACGTAAACCAGGGACGATTCTAAAGCACACCAGGTTTGAGGTTTTTTTGGGGTGTTTATTTAAAAATGAATTTAGTATTTTTAAATTTTTAAAATACACAACAGCAGCTAAATGTCAAATGACAGTATTTCTGCTGTATTATTTTTGTACAAAAATCGGTGGAAAAAACAAACAGTGAAACAATCCAAACTGAGGAATGATGGCTCCATTTTGTAATCCTGTGTTTTTGAAAGACTGGAGGGTCAAATCATTAAGAAAAATATTTACATAAGCTATTTGCAATCATAATTAGGCGTCAGGTAATTCCGCATGCAGTTACTAAGGAGGATTCCCTAGAAGTCCAGGTGCTTCCCGCCTCCGGCCATCATGCCACAGCCTGGGCCCCGCTGCTTAGCGGCTTCTGCCAGATCCTGTTTGCGCGAACGGCTCACTGTGTCTGACAAGTCTGGAGGCAAATGCAGTCGCTGCGGTGCATTGTGAGAGAAGAAAGAAGAAAATTAAGTTTCCTTTCCCCACATTTCAGAATACAATATTATGCTCTGTTGATCAGCATCTCCTCGTGCATATGAAACCTCTGCTCAAACAGTTCCTCAGGCGCAGCCCCTCGGCGTCACAACCCACTCTTACTCAGTTTCCACCAATCACAGCTACGGTTAGAAACTGGACAGGGTTCTCAGTGGACTCACTTCAGAGTCCCAAACTAAACCTAGTGAGATTTTTCTTTCTTAGGTGGGAATGAAAACACGCAAATGTACAAATTGAAAAAATATCATAAGCTACAGTATTTTTTTTTCTGGTTCTGTTTTTGCCAGGGTCCTAAAATGCTTTTTAATCAACTAAGCTTTTCATGAATGGTGGATTCCCATTGATGCCTGCTCCTCTTCATGTATAAGTTGACCTGATGGCTTTATTTCATGACTATACTTTTTCTAGGGACTCCAGTTTTCACAGAAGCATTGGCATAGTGAGGAAAACGCTACTGGACAGCAGAGCTCTCAGAGGCACAGGTGAGCTAGCCACAGCATTCACTACATTTGCCTCAATGCACAACACTGAAGTAGACTTTCAGAAGTGTAGCTTGGCACTGACTACCCCACTCCTGGCTTCATCTCTCCCCAGATCCAAGGTGACTTAAGCAGATACCCCTTCCCCTGCCGGAACTGCAGAAGTTACTGTGGTTAGAAAAAGAAACAGTTTTAAAAGAATGTTGTTATTTTGAAAGGAATATAAACTAGGGACGGTGGCACCCACGTTTAACGCAAGCACTTACAACCTTACAACGTAAAGGCAGGTGAATCTATGCCATGTGTAGGACGGGCTTTGGCATGCATAGATTTTGGGATCTGCAGGGGATTTAGAACCACTCCTCCAGGAGTGACGACTGATTCTCCCTGTTGGGTGAGGCACAAAATAGGAGGGCAGGGCCACAGGCAAGACAGGATAGGATAGTGATCTTTCATAGACAACCTGGCTGGGACCTTTATTTGGAAAACTCTATTCAATGGAAAAAAAAAAAAAGGCTAGGACCGTTTTTGTCAAAATGTTTGCCCAGGAGCATATGCTCCTGCTGGAGGCTTTCCCGATGAAAGACTTCCTTGTTGTCATGTAAACACAAGCTGTGGGTAAATACTCAAGATATTTAAAGACATTTAAGATAATTTATGAAAGGTTCTTCCTTGATTTGTCTCAAATACAAATGCATTTCAGACGAAAGACACTGCTGTACAGATGCATGCTTAACAAAGATGTCAGGCAGGTGAAGAGGTCAGAAAACACGGAACCCTTCATTTCACCCCCGGCACTCAGCCTGTTGCTTATTAAGCAACTGTTTGTTTCTTGAATCTCAGATGAGACCTATTTGTTCCCAAATAACTCCTTCAGTTCTTTGTACTCTAGTGTGTTCCACAGAGGATTTCAGCAGAAATGAGAGCAGGATAGGCTCAGTGGTCTAAAAGGAAGCATGGCTCCCAGGTCTGAGGCTACAGGCGTCTCTGCAGTGTTAACAGTCACTGACCATAGGAGAAGCAGGGGGAAAGAGATCTTTAATTATATCTGAGTTATCCAAAACTTACAGAATGTTAGCATTTGTGTGCATGCGTGTGCACATACCTGTGCACATGTGCATGCACAATACTGGAACCTCCCAAATGGTGAGTGGCCTATGGAGCCAATGTGGCAAACAGAATCTACAAGGCATTCTGAAGCGAGCAAAACACCTTCTACACACCTTGTCTCTGATAACCCACTGACATGAATAAGGCAAGTGCACAAATCACCCTCACAGTGAACTTTTTAGGTTTGGATACAAGAAAGGTAGAGTGGAGGAGAACGCTTTACAGACATGGAACTTGAGTGGGCTCTTAAGTGATGGCCTTGGTTCTGACAAGGAGAATGAGATCTGCCCAACAGTAGGAGCAGTGCACTACAAGGCAAGGTGGATTTGAAGGTCTAGCCTGCATGCACAATCTAAGCCGGAAAGCAAGTGCAATTAGTTAGGACTAGCAAAATAAAAAAATATTTTAGGGCCTCAACTATTTGCTTAGTGACTGCCTAAGCACCCCCTTCTCTTATCTAGGCAATGAGTGAGCCAACTGGCTAATTGCCATCCCTGGGAAAAAAGTGACATGCGACATGCTTGGAGATCTTTTGGGTTGAATGGCTTTGAAGAAAAGTCATATATTATTTATGTGCTACTTCTGATCATAAAAATTTGGGGATGATATGATTAATTATTCCTAGGCAAATGCTTTACTAGAATGATGCTTGTAGATTTTGTCCTCTGAAAATGCCAAAAGAGGGTCGGGAAATCTGTGTCTCTGTGTGGTTTTGCTTGCTTTTGTTGATTCCTCGAATGTGGTCACCATGCAATGTAAATTCTTGAGCAGAGTGTTTGGTTCTTTCTTTCCAAGCATCCCCTGTGTGCCGCATCAGTGTGATGTGAAGCAGCAAGAAAGGAGCTCAGGTCCCAGCCTTGCCAGCTGTGTCAGGGAGCTCTCCTCTGAGGCCTCCACAGCCTGCACACACTTGACATGTAAATGCTCAGGTGCCGCTGCAGCCCACATCTGTCTTCTGAGAAAGTCTACCACATGGTGACCTTCTTTAAGATAAACTGCAAGGCTGCAGTGTAAATAAACTTTTAGATGTTGAGATTTCGCTGAGAAACAGTTTAAATAACAATGAATATGGCGAATGCATGAAATAAATGATTCTCCACGTTATAAACCCAACCAGAGGATTCATCTCTCTCTTTTCATACCTGAGCAAAGGCCAAAGCAAAAATGGATCTTTTATCCTGAGCTGAATATTTTTTCCATCTGATTTTGTTTCCTTAGATTTGGAGAGGGAAAGATTGCAGATGAGGCAGGGGTTGCGTATCTGGCTGGCTGGCAGCCTAGATTTTGTCTTAGTACCAGGTCTGTATGAATAGAGGTATGGGAAAATAGGAACTCCTATGATTCCTACAGGAAATTGGGGGATTTTCAGGGAGGGATCTGATGTGATCAATGGACTCCCTTCTGCCACTACTGGATGGAAGGGAACAGGCTACTAAAATGCCCTGGCAGGTTCAGGGCATCTGCCAAAGGCATCTGCATTCCACAGAAAGCCTAGAGTAGACCCAAGCAGCAGAGCTGACTGCTCTGTGGCTTCAGGGTTTCCCAAGGAGGATGGGACTTGGAGCTCTTCCCCAAGGCCTGCCTCTCCATTGTGCTGGGCTTAGCCACTATCTGTCCCTTCTGGGACAGTAACAAACTGGTCCTTTAGACACATAGAGTAACATTTCCTGTCTTAACGGTTCCCTAACTAATTTTTTTCCCCCCACCTGCCAACCCGTGCTCAGTACCCACAGTTCCCAAACAGAAGGGTCAAACTAATCAATGGAGATTACGCCTGGATTTGAGGCAAACTGAAAGTAAATCTCCACTAAAGTAGTTCCAATCACTTTATATGTTTTTTATTTTGCCAAAAGAAAAGCACCAGGCACTGTCTCTTTTCTGAAGACCGCTGATGGAGAGCATTCCACCCTCAGCAGCTGGGCAGGCACTCATTGGCATCTTCACAGCTTCCTCATGTTCCCGGAAAGCCAGTCTGTGTTGCTCAGAACCACGGAACATTAATCTTTCAGAAGAGTTTTCTTTTTTTTTTTTTAAATGTTTTTATGATTTATTTAACTTTATTTTATGTGAATTGGTGTGAACATGTCAGATTCCCTAAAACTGGATTTTCAGACAGTTTTGATCTCCCATGTGGTTGCTGGGAATTGAACCCGGGTCCTCTGGAAGAACAGTCAGAGTTCTTAACCACTGAGCCATCTCTCCAGCCTCTCAGAGGAGTTTTCAATATATTTTCACTTTCTTTTAACCATAACAAATTGAATGAAAACTGGTTCATATCCGAAGAGTCCTATGTTAGTCTCCTACCTAAAAATCTGTCACTTTGGCTGATTTTTTTGGGTCCAGGGCTCTGCCAGAGACAAAGCACACGTCATGGGGCAAGGGCACTGGGAATGGAGGTGGAGTGACAGCAAGATTCCTGCCTTTGTCCTTCACTTTCAGGGCGACCTCCCATAAGTCAATTATTTGTCAAAGCTCAATGTGCTCATCCACACAAAGAAACAACTGTCCCCTCACAAGACTGCCATGGAGATCAGATGACATGTACAGACACTTTGTGAACCATCATTACTATACTAACATAGTTAAACCTCTTTTGGTTAAAAAAGTAGATTTCAGGGAGCTTAGAAAGATATTTGTAGTAAAACATGATAGAAACAAGTGAGTTTAGGGGCCCAGGAAGTGCGTCTAGAAGTATAGCTCACTATACATAGCTATAAATGACAACAATTTAGTTACTGGTCTCAGGACATAAGCAGAACCTCAGTGTTTAGTATATATCATCTCCTGTCCCCCCTTGTGGCTCTGCCAAGAAATATAAAGGAAGTTGCACCCACAATTCCCTGCCTGGCTTCTAGGCCAGTGTCAAAGTGTATGGTTGTATTACAAAGGTATGGTGGTTTGAACGAGAAATGCTTCCCATAGTATTGGGCATTTTAACACTTGATTCCCAGTTGGTGGTGCTATTCAGGGAGGTTTATGTGGCAGCCTTGTTGTAGGAAGTGTGCCACTGAAAGCAGGTTTTGAAAGTAAATGCCTTACCTACTGTGTGGGAACTCCTTCAGCCAATAGCCTTTACGATACCTGCCCACGTTGGGTGTGGTCTCATGTACTATACATGCAGACCTGCATGGTCATCTTTTCTGTTGGATGACTGGAACTTTTCTGTTCCAGTTCCCAGTGCACAGAGACTGCGGATTGCTACCCTTACTGTGGGTTTATCCCCAAATAAATAAACCTTTGCTATACTCCATTCTGGACTATGTGGAACTCTTTGCTACGACTACAACCTACTAGTTTGTCTCTCCAACTGCCACACCTGCAGTTCGCTGTTCTGTTTCCCTGCCATCATG